TGACAGAGTGAGACCTTGTCTGAACACCCCCCCCCCAAAAAAAAGGGATTATAACTAATTAAGTGTTCATTGGAAATAACTTCCTTTAATTAAATTGGAATTCCAGTAAAATCTCTGTCCAGTTTAACAAAATATTTTAAAGAGTTCAAGGAAGAAAAATGTCAAACAACTCGGGAATTTAAAAAATAAAACTATAGTATGTTTTTAAAAGGAACTATTATAAACTAACTTCAGATAATACTTGGAAGAGCTAGCTGTAGCTGTAATTGAATTCAATTTATTACTCATACAACTCTGATCAATTTGTCCATTACTTTTTTTAAATGGAATCTCACTCTGTACCCTAACCTGGAGTGCAGTGGCGTGATCTCAGCTCACTACAACCTCTGCCTGCCAGGTTCAAGCGACTCTCCTGCCTCAGTCTCCTGAGTAGCTGGGATTACAGGCACGCACCACCATGCCCGGTTAAGTTTTGTATTTTTAGTAGAGACGAGGTTTCACCATGTTGGTCAGGCTGGAACTCCTGACCTCATGATCCACCTGCCTCAGCCTCCCAAAGTGCTGGCACCATTTTTTAGCTTTTCTCAACCTTTAAGGTAATGCCCATTGTGATTTTAGTTCAGTTGATCAGTCTCCAGACTAGGTGTGACTGATACATTTCCCATCAGAAAATTCTCCCTGCCATATGGTCGGAAATCAATATGATCTCCTTCCGTAAATATCTATTGAGAGACCAACAATGTTTTGATGTTGTAAGTAATATAAAAGAAATTCACGTCTCACTCCTGTCATTTTGAAAAGTATGTTGATAAGTTTCTGATAAAGTTGCTTTATGTTTACAAAGAGAAGCCATAATATCCTGAGTTTCAAAACATCTACTAGATCAAAATAGCCATAGGTCTGTGACTTTGGTCATAATTCAGTCAATAAGAATTGACATCTCTTCTGTAGTTTAGGGCTCAATGTGACCAGCCTTCCTACATTTGATAAATGCTCTTTCCAACAGGTACTTCAAAGCTTCCATCATCAACACATGTAGTCCTTTAAGGGCTTGGCTGCTCAGTGGCAGTCATGGTGGCTTATAAATTACCCATTTATAGTAGGTTTTTGGCTTTTGAAGCTGAGTCAATTTCTTGAAGTTTCTGGTCCTCTCTTCTCTGGAAACAGCTTTGCCCCTCTTTACTACAGTCCCATTCCTTCGGGTGGAGCCTCTTACATTTCCTAAACACCTGAAATCTTCACTCCTCCCTTAGATAAAAAACTCTCTTGACATGTCAGAATTTGGGTCACTTTAGTTCTTTCCTCACAAATGACTTCACTGTCCTATAGCCATTCCTTCAGTACATGTATGATAACACTTGTATGATGATACTATCTAACATTTACAGAGGACTTTGTTCTAGCACCGTTTAAAGCACTCTACCTAATTTGTTTGGTTTATAGTAAAATTATGAAGCAGGAGCTATTATTTGTATTTCACAGATGAAGAAATTGAAGTGCAAAGAACTTTAATACTTTGCCTGAGGTTGCAAGAACTGGAATCTGCACCCTAGTAGCTTAACACCAGAGGTCAAATTCTTAAACATTGCAAAGATATAGACTGCCCAAGAACCTTGCTAAACTTCAGTCATACATTAATACCATTTTCTTTGCAAGAATCTATGTTGTTTGTTCCTTACTTAAGTGGGAAGGATATATGCAAGATAAGGTAGCCAGGGATTTAAGTCTGGCAACAGTTGGACTGCTGGGTTTTCAGAGAAGTGTTCCCCAAAGCAAATTATGGTGCTAATTTCCAGTGTTCCATAAGCACAGCAAGAAAAATGGGAAGTTCTCGGTAAGGTATATAGTATTATTTCTAGAAATAAAGATGAACCAATCCAAGATTGGTTTTTTGTTTGTTTAATCCTGGCAGTATTCTGAACTAAATCATATTTATTCTTCCCTTTACCTTCCATTTTTTCTTTTTCTTTTTTTTTTTTTTTTTTTTTTGAGACAGTCTCGCCCAGGCTGGAGTGCAGTGCCGCAATCTTAGCTCACTGCAACCTCTGCCTCCCAGGTTCAAGCAGTTCTCCTGCCTCAGCCTCCCGAGTAGCTGGAACTACAGGCACGCGCCACCATGCCCGGCTAATTTTTGTATTTTTAGTAGAGATGGGGTTTTACATATTGATCAGGCTGGTCTTGAACTTCTGACCTTGTGATCCACCCGCCTCAGCCTCACAAAGTGTTGGGATTACAGGCGTGAGCCACTGCACCAGGCCACTTTCCAGATATTATAGGCCCTAATTTAATGTGTCTCAAATGCCAAATAAATTTGAGAAGCTTAGACTGGAGCTGCCGTACTGATACAGATTTGGATTTATGGGTGAATGGGTGACTATAGGTGTCATGTTATTTTCATAGAACCACGCAGGGTTGAAATTAGGAAGGAAAGAAGTTTCCTTGAATGGAGATAGCCAGAGTCAGAATTAAGACCTTTCTTCCAGGATCAATCTGAAATAACATTTTGACAAGTAAAAAGAGGCATGCCTGTCATAGAAGAAATAAAAAGGCAACCTGGAAGAATAGAAAAAGGGAGGTCTACATAGAAATTAGTTACTGTCTACCTGGGCGTGGTGGCGGGCACCTGTGATACCAGCTACTCAGGAGGCTGATGCAGGAGAATCGCTTGAACCCAGGAAGCGGAGGTGCAGTGAGCCAAGATCATGCCATTGCATTCCAGCCTGGGTGACTTGAGGGAAGTGATCACCTAAATCAGTGTTTTATCAACCTTTTAAAATTATCATCCTCCTAAAGAGCCTTTCTAGACATTTTTTTCCCATTAATTCTCCCATACCCCCACCAGGAAATTAAATGCTCAGGAATGATTGTTTTGGTAAGGTTAAGCTTTGGAGTTCCACAAACTAAAAATTAAGAGTGAGATTATATCAAAGATTGTTTCAGTCCCCACTGAGTTCCCCACACCCTAGGGAGCCATATCACCCATATTAAGAACTTGTAGCCTAAATAAATCTTATATGGGTGTATTATTCATGGAGTTGTTTTCCACTGCTTACATAGCACATATCAACTATGCCAACCTCTGATTTGTAATATGCTTTTCTTGGATCCAGCCTTAGGATACCAAGAGATATCTTCATCAACATTAACTGTCATTACAATAACATCTAGTCAAGAATAGTCTAAATGGCCGGGTGTGGTGGCTTATGCCTGTAATCTCGGCACTTTGGGAGGCCGAAATGGGTGGATCACTTTGAGCTCAGGAGTTCGAGATCAGCCTGAGAAACATGGTGAAACCTCATCTCTACTAAAAATACAAAAATTAGCCAGGCATGGTGGTGGGTACCTATAATCCTATTGGGGAGGCTGAGGCAGGAGAATCACTTGAATCTGGGAGGCGGAGGTTGCAGTGAGCTGAGATAGCACCACTGCACTCCAGCCTGGGTGAAAGAATGAGACTCCATCTCAAACAAACAAAAAAGTCTAAATGTCCTCAATACTGTCCGTGTGTGGCACTAGTGAAGTAATTTCTGGCCATTAGTGGTGCTATGTTCACCATGAAATTGAGGCTACAGAAATTCCTTTGGAAATGTCTGATTTAGACATTTATCACTTTCAGATGTTTTAGCCATGAAAGAATCTCATGGATTTATTGCAGAAATATGCGATGGTCAAAGACAAGGTATTGGCTCTAGAAGCCAAATTACTAGTCTTTATTCTGGCTTTTTATTTGTGAGACCATGGAGAGTCGTTTCAACCCTGGGAACCTTGATTTACTCTTTAAAAACAGAGAAAACAGGCTGGGCGCAGTGGCTCATGCCTGTAATCCCATGGGAGGCTAGGCACTCAGATCACTTGAAGTCAGGAGTTTGAGACCAGCCTGGTCAGCATGGTGAAACCCTGTCTTTACTAAAAATACAAAAATTAGCTGGGCCTGGTGGCACATGCCTGTAATTTTAGCTACTCTGGAGGCCGAGGCAGGAGAATCTCTTGAACCAGGAGGTGGAGGTTGCAGTGAGTCAAGATCCCACCATTCCACTCCAGCCTGGGTGACAGAGACTCTGTCTCAAAAAAAAAAACAAAAAAACAAAAAAAAAAAAAAAAGAGAAAATGATAAACACCTTGCAGGTTGTTGCATGGTATAATGGTCATACATTATTTTCTACTCTTTCTGGTAAAGAGTTGGTGTGTCATAGAAAGTACCTGTTCTGTGTGTGTGTGTCTGTGTGTATAATTCGGTGTGAAAAAGAGAAACAATAAGAAAACCCCTTTCCTATAGTTATGTGTAAATTAGCATGGTGTGCTGCAAAAAACATGTGTCAAGGTGATAGGAGAATTATTTTGACTTTCCTGTACAATTATAAAATGATTCAGTGAGTTTGGTTAGGTATCCTCGTTCTCTGAATCTATATCCCTGTCTGCTTATGACCAAAAAAAAAAAAAAAAAGAAAAAAAAATCATGGCAAGGGTCTCTCAAGCTCTAAAGAATATGTCAACTATGATACAAGTAGCAGTTAGCCTTATAACTAACTGTAAACACTATCTGTGGGTTTTAAGTTTTACCTGAGCATTGGCTATTAACACACCATTAACCCAACTTTCAAAAATATGAACTCTATAAACTTCACAACTGAAGTCAGATCTGTATGCCTGAGAAAGGTAAAATCATTTCATGAAATCAAACGGTGGTGATGCGCCCAAATTCTGGCCTCATCCTTTAATTGGAGGACATCCGGCAGGACATCAACTGGGCCCTGCCTTTTTTCAGGCAGCAACATCTTCCACTCAACCCACACCATTTGACAGTTCCCCATTGCCCCTGGCACCCAGCCCTCCGGTACCAGGAACTAAATATCCTTGTCCATTCCGCCAGCGGCCACTGCCTGCTTAACCCGAGGCAGGTGAAAGCGCCTCACGCAGAGTTTGGAACCTCCGGGGGCGGGGCGGGGCGTGGCGTGGCGTGGCGTGGCGTGGCGTGGCGTGGCGTGACGTGGCGTGGCGTGGCGTGACGTAGCGTAGCGTTGGGGAAACTTGGGCCTGCGGATTGGGGGACCGGAAAGGGAGGGGTGGGCCGCAGGCGCTGGACGTGACGTAAGCCGGAAGCGACTTTCCGCCGAGAAATAGGGGCGCGTGTTTGGAAATTGATAGAAAAGATAAAGCGAGCGAGCTGCTGTCAGCTTGGCTTACTGGTCTGCTTCCGTTTCACCACAGATTCAGTTATTAAGCATTTTTTTCTTTTTTTGGTTCTTTGCAATGTGAGCGGCATTGGCTCAGTGATTTCCGTGAGCATCTCCACGAGAAAACATTGCCTCGATGAGGTGCGGTGGAAGCCAGGCAGCCGCTTCTAATCGGCTAGGCTTGAGAAAGCGTGTACCTCTGCCTTTCCGAAATTAACTCAGCGTGATCGGCAGGATTTTCCGGAGCATCTGGTGTCAAGACACTCGTCACTATTAATTCGGAAAGAAAACACCGTTTTCCAGCATTTCTCTTGGTGGAGAACTAAACAACAGGAAAAATGTCTATTTTCCCTAAGATATCTTTGAGACCCGAGGTTGAAAACTATCTTAAGGAGGGCTTTGTGAATAAGGAGGTAGGTCAGGTAAAGATGTTAGATGATGTTTTGCAAAAACTCAAATATTTACACACTCTAGAGAAATAGAAAAAAGTGTAAAGAGAAATCTTGACAGCCATCGTTTCTTACTACTTGTCTATCAAGTGTAAAAATACCAATATGTTTCTACAGGTATTAAAGCTTACTGAGATTCAAAGTGAATAAGGTATATGTTTTAACATTTAGGAGTGGAAAAGAAGGGAAAAAATGCATGTGCCTGTCAAGCATGACACAAAGGGTTACAAGGATGAACAAGAAAAAGTCCTTGTCTTCAAGAACTCAAGTCGAATTTTAAAAGAGCGCTCGCTCTGGCACTCAGGTGAAAAGGATTCTGTAATTTTTTGAGTGCCTCTTAAATGCCAACAGTTGTGCTAGGTTATTTGCATCTTTACTCTTCACAATCTTTTTTTTTTTTTTTTTTTTTTTTCCGTAGAGTTTGTTCCTATTTTAATAGATAAGAAAACTGTTAAAGGAATTGTGTAACTGACCCAAGTTGACACGGCTATCAAGTAACTATTGAAATCTGGAGGGAAAGGGTTCAGGTGTAATGAACAAAGGTACAGCTTTTGAATCTCAGGCACTTGATTTGCCTTCTAGTGCCTTGTAAATTACTTTACGTGGCTTAATCTCGATTTTTCTCTTCTGTGAAAAATTGAGAATGGTTAAAAATATCTTACCAGGTTGTTTTAGGATCTTAAACGTAAGTAAATACAAGTAGCATTGTTTTGGCATGTAAGTCCTCAAAAAATGTTAATGTTGTTTGCTGAAGTCCCCAGTAAATGTTGCTTGTCTTTGATTGCAAAGCCTGCTGTCTATTCCACTTTACCATGCTGCCTCTGAACAACTTTGTTTTTTCCAAATCTTTAATTTTTTAGTCAAATTAAAAGTATTTTACCAGGTTGTTTTAGGATTTTAAACGTAAATGAAAACAACTAGCATTGTTTTGGCATGTAAGTCTTCAAAAAATGTTAATTTTGTTTGCTATTGGCAGTGCCTGCCACAGAAGTCCTCAGTAAATGTTGATTGTCTCCGATTGTAAAGCCTGTACTCTCTTCCACTTTACCACGTTGCCGCCAAGCAAATTTTTTTTGAAATCCTTAGTTTTTTTTTAGTCAGGTTAACACCACTTAAATGTTGCTCATTTTTGAATATGTTATTGAAGCCATGCCTTTTAGATTTGATTTCTGTGTTTCATTTCCAAAGATTATGTTGAGAAACTAGACTGTATGGAAAGATAAAATATATTCTGTTGATTTCAAGGGACTTAAAATATAAGGCACATATTAAGAGAAGTAGGGGCATTCTACAGTTTTTTCCAGCTGATTTTAAAATGGAGAACATTGTTTTATAAAGAATATCCAAACATTTTTCTTTTGACACTCCTTCTGCCTCAGAGCCTCATCAATGGTATGGTTTTACAAAATGGAAAGCTATGTCTTTGTGAAAAGTATTGAAGGGAAAGAATATTAAGTTTTATGCCTTTTTTTTTTTTTTTTGAAACAGGGTCTCGCTCTGTTGCCCAGGCTGGAGTGCAGTGACGTGATTACAGCTCACTGCTGCTTCGACCTCTGGGACTCAAGTGATCCTGTCACCTCAGCCTCCCGAGTAGCTGGGACCTCAGACAGGGGCCACCACTCTGGCTAATAATATTTGTATTGTTTGTAGAGATGGGGTTTCACCATGTTGCCCAGGCTGAAAGTTCAGCTTTGATAAGACTAACCCTTGAGAAAGTATGAATACTTTTAAGGCTAGTGGATGAGTAGGCTAACAAGTGGTTTGTGAAGATTCTGTAAAGCAGGGTTTAGTCAAATAGGGAAAAAAAAATGTGTTATTTGAAAAGGTTCGGTTAATTACAAGGGAATTTTGTTGTTTAAGTCTTTATACCGTCATATCTGACAGGTGTCTTTGCTACTCATCTTTTTTGGACAATATATATTTGTTACATTTAATAATACCGTATTAAAAAGCTGATGTCCTAGGGGAATCTTTGTATGACAGTGACTATATCAATGTTACTTACTCTTTAAATATTGGTGTTTTAAAAGGATACCACCCAGTTTGCTGTTGGAGATGATGTTAGCTAATTAGCAACATCTAGCTAACTTGGATATAATGTTAGCTCTACAGAGATACTGTAATGGTAATGCATTATAAATAGACTGAATTTTTGAATTTATGTGAGTAAATGTAGCAGATATTAATATTTGGAAAATGTGCATAATGCTTTGAAGTTTAGGCAATGTTTTTCTAAGCCCTTTATTTCAGGCATTTTCTTAGATGTTTATTACCACGTTTAAGCCCAAGAACCCTGTGAAGTATTACTATTTCCTTAGTGCTGTTAACATATAAACAATACAGCAAAATAGAATGGAGCTGAACAATTGCTAAGCGATGTTTCATTAGATGGAATTAATATATAAGCATGTTCTGCTGACTGTTTTTAATTCTCAGGAAATTTAAACATTAACTTCTTCTTTTTAGATTGTGACGGCTTTAGGTAAACAAGAAGCAGAAAGGAAGTTTGAAACTTTGTTAAAGCACCTGTCACATCCTCCGTCATTCACAACTGTCAGAGTGAATACACATTTAGCCTCAGTACAACATGTGAAAAATCTGTTACTTGATGAACTTCAGAAGGTTTGTGGAAATTTTCTGTCATTTGTACATAATTACATTTTTGCAGTCTGCCATGTTCTCCATTAAAATCTTATGAATGATAGAATACACTTCCAATTTTATAGATAAGGAGATTAAGGATCATGAATGGTAAATTCTTCAAAATTATCCTAGGTGGTAATGCTAGAACTTGAACCTAGTACTTCTGATTCTAAATTTATTCATTTTTGGTGACTAAATAGCTCTTAAACCCCTTTGGGCTGCATTAAACTGGGCCTCAGTAGCTTCATCATTAAAATACATGTGAAGAAGTCCAGTCTAACCTTAAAAACCTGTGGCTTTGTGATAAGTAGCATATAATGACCAGGAAGACAGATGGTATAGCTGAGATAAGCCCAGAGATAAGGAGGTACATAATAAGTACCTGTGAGATTATATTGTTAATTGACATAAAAAATAGATGTTCGACCAGGTGTGGTAGCTCACGCCTAGCACTTTGGGAGGCTGAAGTGGGTGGACTTGAGGCCAGGACTTTGGGACCAGCTTGGCCAGCATGGTGAAACCCTGTCTCTACTAAAAATACAAAAAAATTAGTCGGGCATGATGGCACATGCCTATGATCCCAGCTACTCAGGAGGCTGAGGCATGAGAATCCCTTGAACCCAGGAGGTGGAGGTTGCAGTGAGCCAAAATTGCGTGACTGCACTCCACCCTGGGTGATGGAATGAGACTCTGTCTCAAAGAAAAAAAAAAAAAAAAAAGATGCTGAGCGCCTTATGTTTCATAAAACCAGGAAATTACAACAAGATAATTAATCTGAATCTATTTTCAATGTAAAACAGCATGAGATTTTTTTCATCCAAACAATAAAATAGTTTTGGCAAAATATTCCTCTTACAGATGAAAACAGTATTATAAAATGGCATTTATGACTTCTAAGAAGAAAAGTATTTGAGTTATCTTGTTTGTATTTTTTTGAGTTACCTTGTGTATACTTTTTTGCTTTTGAAAGCTTTGCCTTATGTGTTTCTTACACTGTACACTGAAATTTACCTCGGAGGAAATGTAGGATGTGGAAAAATAGATGCTGAGAGGTACCACATAAATTGCATATTGTAGTTATTCAGTGACTTGTAACATGTAACTGGTGGGCGTCAGCAGACTCATTTCTGCCTTATTTGTATCTGAACTAAAAGCAAGAGGCAACCATCATTAAAGGGTTTCCATTTGTAAATCACAAGCTGTGTTTAGTTATTTGGGAAACTTCAGAAAATTATCACTGAGTCACTTATCCCCTTTTAAAAAATCTCTCTATTACATTTATGGACTCTTTGTCATACTCTCCTTAAGAACAATTCTATAAGTACCAAGTTGTAAATAGACGACCATGTCATGAGAAGAACCAGCTATGGCATCTCAGTGTATGACACCAAACCTTAGTATAATAATTAAATAACACTTTAAAAAAAGTAATCTGATTTTTATTGATAGTGATAATCTTATTGAGAGTAATCACAGGCATAAAACATAAGTAGTTGCCCTAAGCAACTAAAATCATTACTTTTCCATAGTCATGCGTATGTTTTCAGCTAACAAAAAGGAAACTGTTCTGAGGCCCGCTGGAAGTATCCATAACTCAGATCCAGATTTTTTTTTTTTTCTGAGAAGGAGTCTCACTCTGTTGCCCAGGCTATAGTGTGGTGGCGCGATCTTGGCTCACTGCAACCTCTCCTTCCTGTGTTCAAGCGATTCTCCTGCGTCAGCCTTCCAAGTAGCTGGGACTACAGACGCCCACCACATTTTCGTATTTTTAGTAGAGGTGAGGTTTCACCATATTGGCCAGGCTGGTCTCGAACTCCTGACCCGTGATCTGCCCACCTCGGCCTCCCAAAGTGCTGGGATTACAGGTGTGAGCCACTGCACCTGGCCTTATTATTTTTTTTCGTAACAAATGATTTCCAGAACCTGGATATTTTAGTATTCTAGTCTGGATATACAAGATCCCATGGGCTAGGATCAGTCACTCTGGGCTTTGGGCCCCTTTCCTTGAAGGTTAACATTGTACAGGGAAACATGGGTCAAAGTCACTAGACAGGAAACTAATGGTAAAGCAGTACCCAATTCTAGCAAGAAAGAGTACTTGGAGGAGGCTTTAGGCTGTAGATTTTCTTTCTCCTTTCATGTTGAAAAGTTCACGTGTCCTAAAGTAATGTTTGTTGATTTCTGTGGTATAAATACTCACCAGGTTCCTTGGTAGTTACACGCACGACCATGGAATTGGAAAGAGATGCATGCAGTGACTCTCCTGAGCTGGTGTGAGCTGGCTCCCATACCTGTACCTGCTTTCAGTGTGACAGTCTTCTGGTTCCCTTATGATAGAGAATACTGAAAATCCCGAACCTCTACCATAAACATTTCTTTTTTTTTTTTTTTTTTTTTTTTTTTTTTTGAGACGGAGTCTCGCTCTGCCGCCCAGGCTGGAGTGCAGTGGCCGGATCTCAGCTCACTGCAAGCTCCGCCTCCCGGGTTCACGCCATTCTCCTGCCTCAGCCTCCCCAGTAGCTGGGACTACAGGCGCCCGCCACCTCGCCCGGCTAGTTTTTTGTATTTCTTAGTAGAGACGGGGTTTCACCGTGTCAGCCAGGATGGTCTCGATCTCCTGACCTCGTGATCCGCCCGCCTCGGCCTCCCAAAGTGCTGGGATTATAGGCTTGAGCCACCGCGCCCGGCCAACATTTCTTTTCCTCACCAAAACTGACGTGGATGCCAGTGTTAATTGTGTATATTAGGTAGTATTTATTAATAGTAATCTCAGTCTTTAACATCCTATTCAGAAATTTTTCTTAAAGGAATACTACATGTAATTCTATATTAAATAAAAGTTTTTAAAATAAATCACTTAAGGTAACCATGGTTTGTGTTTATAATGCCAAATAGTAAGCAAAATTGAGTCTTATAAAGAAGTCAGGATACTTCAGAATTAAAATAGAGAAAACACTGTTGTTTTGAGGTCTTTTGGATTTTTACAGTATCCCGTGGAATAAAGTGAAAGTGCCCCAGAGCTACTAGGGCTTCATGCTGTGGTAGATGATGATACTGAAAAGTTCCATAAGTTGAAATGTATCAGATGTATGAATTGCTTTATAATCATGTTTATTTTTAACAGCAGTTTAACGGATTAAGTGTTCCTATTCTTCAACATCCAGACCTTCAGGATGTCTTACTTATTCCTGTTATTGGACCCAGGTTTGTAAGAACTTCATTTCCAAATTATATTCTTCTCAATAAAAGTTTGTCACAGGGAGCTTTTTAACTGTTCGATGATAAGACTAAGTTTCCCCATTGTTAGCAACTTTCTATAGATAACAGGAATTCAAAAATTTAGAAATGCAGACTTTAGACTCTGTCATGGAAAATAATACAAAAGAAGACTAGGAATGGGCCCAACGACCTTGAGAATAATGTATTTTAGGTCCATTCAGTGCAGTGATGTTTTTCCCCCCTCTTTCTGCGAAGTTTTATTTCATTTGTTTACTTGTATTTTCATATGAATTTTCAGTGCTAAATTAAAACCTTTTTTTTGAGCTGCAGCAAAAATATAGAGTAACCTATTTTCTACTTTCATAGTTGATATGTTTGTAAAATTTTATTTTTTGAGACAGTGTCTTGCTCTGTTACCCAGGCTGGAGTGCAGGGGCACAATGATTGCAGGCTTGAACTTGTGGGCTCAGGCAATTATACCACCTCAGCTTCTGAGTAACTGCGACTACAGGTGTGCACCACTGCACCTGGCTAATTTATTTTTTATTTTGTAGAAACAGTCTCACTATGTGGCTGGTATTGAACTCCTAGCCTTAAACAATGCTCCCACCTCAGCCTGCCAAAGTATTAGGATTACCAATGTGAGCCATTTCGCCCAGCCTGTAAAATTTTATTCATAATTCAACAATTATGTGTAATGCCATTTATGTTCTGCTCTTTTATGTATTTGGAAAGCATATGTTTGAAAATTGGAAAATAGGTTTTTGGGCTGGATCCAGTGGCTTACTTACGCCTGTTATCCCAGCACTTCGGGAGGCTGAGGTAGGAGGATCCCTTGACCCCAGGGTTGGAGACCAGTCTGGGCAACATGGCAAAACTCCATCTCTACTTTAAGAAATTACAAAACTTAGCTACAGGTGGTGTGCACCTGTAGTCATAGGTATTCAGGAGGCTGAAGTGGGAGGATTGTTTGAGCCTGGGAGGTGGAGGCTACAGTGAGTCATGATTGTGCCACTGCAATCCAGCCTGGGAGACAGAGCGGGACCTTGTCTCAAAAAAAAAAAAAAAAAGGAAAAATAAGTTTTCATAGTATAATGATTATAATGGAATTTTATTCCTATGGAGCGTTTTAAAGTTCCTAATTATGGTCTAAAATCTTTTTAAACTCCTAAGAGTTATGATAAATATAGAAATGCTTTTGTTAAAACTTTAATTGAGTGGACAGCAATAGAGCAGTGGTTTAATAAACTATGATTTGTCCATGCAATGGGATAGTATATGGCCTTTAATATGGGAGAATTATACATACCAATCAGAGAAGATGTTTATGATCAGTTGTTAAATATAAAAAACAAATTGCCATACTTGGGATAATTACTTTTTTTGCAATTAAAGAAAGTATACAACTATGCCTTTATGTATATTTATATACAGGTAAAAAAAAGTCTGGCACCTGTAACATACCCAGCTTTTAATAGTGGTTGACTCTGAGGAAGTTAGATTGAGAGAGAGGGGAAAAATAAAAGGAAATTTTTTTTTTTTTTTTTTTTTTTTTTGAGACGGAGTCTCGCTCTGTCGCCCGGGCTGGAGTGCAGTGGCCAGATCTCAGCTCACTGCAAGCTCCGCCTCCCGGGTTTACGCCATTCTCCTGCCTCAGCCTCCCGAATAGCTGGGACTACAGGCGCCCGCCACCTCGCCTGGCTAGTTTTTTGTATTTTTTTTAGTAGAGACGGGGTTTCACCGTGTTAGCCAGGATGGTCTCGATCTCCTGACCTCGTGATCCGCCCGCCTCGGCCTCCCAGAGTGCTGGGATTACAGGCTTGAGCCACCGCGCCCGGCTGGAAATTTTTATGTGTAATATTTTCGTTTTATTTTTTACTGTAAGAATGTATTTTTGCAATTAAAGTTGATTTGTATAGGCTTCTCATTCTATTTAGTTTAATTTTTAAAGTTTTTCATCTTCTATTCAGTTTTTTAAAGGTGAAATTTACATACAGTGAAACAAAGAGATCTTAAATGTATAGTTTGTTGAGTTTTGACAACTATATACAACTGTGCAGCCAAGACACACCCCAGTCAAGACAGAGCATTTCCATTATCCCAGAAACATCTCTTGTACTCGGCTACCCTACCAGGAAATTGCTCTTTTTATTTCTGTCATCTTGTAGTTTTGGACCAGTTAGTTGCTAGTATAATAGACCATAATCACAGATCTTTGGAGGTTACTACACTCCTTATGAGGATGCAAAATTGTACTTATTTAGGTTCAAACTTTGGACATTTCTTACTCTGTAAAACACCTCTTCTTTATTCTTTAGTTTTGTTTAGTTTCTTAAAGATAGAGTTCAATTAGGTTTTTCTTTATAGAAGCAAGTAAAAATTAGAGTTGTACATAAATATAAAAGTAATCATCTGTTACATCTCCTGTCCCATCTCCCAGTTTTGTTTCTCTGAGCATCAAATTTGATTTTTTCTAGACCGTCTCTATGCTTATATCTGCATACATGAATGCACATGTACAGTCATTTGTACTCATTTTTAGAAAATAGAGAAGATTATAATGTTCTGCAATTTGTTTTTGTGTTTACTTAAAAATATATAATGGATATTGTTCTACGATTATGTAACATTTCATTCTTTTTAATGGCTGCATAAACAGTATATTTTATCATTTAGCTCAGTTTTAATTTTTCTATCCTCCATTGATAGACATTTAGTTTTTTCCTGTTTTTCATTATTACCTGGTAATAATAATAATAAGTGTTGGAGTGAGTATTTGTGGACTTGCATAAGCATGTCTGCATAACAAAGTGGATATGACACAGAATAACCAGTTCAAAGGTCTGTGCTTATTTTAGTTGGAGACATATTACCAGATTACTCTTTACAAAGCTTTACCAGTTAATGTTTCAGCAGTATATGAGAGATTTTGATGCTTGCATTCTTGCCAATACGGGCTATTTTAGGTGTCTAAAATATTTGGATGATTTAACTTTAATTATTTTCAATACTTACTTTTATGTGACCTTAGTCATCCTTTCATTCTGTTCTTTGTAGTGATCTCGGCTACTCATCAGAACATGAGTGAATGTATAAATACAAATGGTGAGCTATTGCAGGGAAGCCTGAAAAAATTATTTAGAATTGTAAATTCACATACCTACCTTTCATTCCTAAAATGAATAAGTCAATTCCTTTTTGTTTGTTTAACTCCTGATTTTTATTAAGTATCTTTTTATTATTTATTTTTCATTTATTTATTTTTTTGAGTCGGAGTTTCACTGTTGTTGCCCAGGCTGGAGTGCAATGGCACGATCTCAGCTCACCACAACCTTCGCCTCCCGGATTCAAGCGATTCTCCTGCCTCAGCCTCCTTAGTAGCTGGGATTACAGGCATGTGCCACCATGCCAAGCTAATTTTATATTTTTAGTAGAGATGGGGTTTCTCCGTGTTGGTCAGGCTGGTCTTGAACTCCTGACCTCAGGTGATCTGCCCGCCTCCGCCTCCCAACGTGCTGGGATTACATGCTTCAGCCATCATGCCTGGCAAGTATCTTTTTTACAAATTTTTTTGTTTTTATGTTTTTGAGATGGAGTCTCAGTCTGTCGCCCAGGCTGGAGTGCAGTGATGTGACCTTGGTTCACTGAAACCTCAGCCTCCCAGGTTCAAGCAGTTCTCCTGCTTCAGCCTCCTGAGTAGCTGTGGCTACAGGCGCGTGCCACCACACCTGGCTTAATTTTTGTATTTTTAGTAGAGACTGTGCTTCATCATATTGGCCAGGCTGGTTTTGAACTTCTGACTTCATGATCTGCCTGCCCCACCCTCCCAAAGTGCTGGGATTACAGGCATGAGCCACCGTGCCCAGCCTATTAAGTCTCTTGAACTTTCCATTATGACAAATGAGGAGGTTCCTGGAGTTAAATTTTCCCAAAAATTCCTACCAGCTAATTTGTATTTACTGTTGTTTCTCTGGTTTTTTTTTTTTTTTTTTTTTTTTGAGATGAGGTCTCGCCGTGTTGTCTAGGCTGGTCTGGAACTCCTGAGCTCAAGTGATCCACCCTCCTCAGCCTCTCAAAGTGCTAGGATTACAAGTACCACCCACCATGCCTGGCCAGTTTTTTTTTTGTTGTTTGTTTGTTTTAACATTGTCAAGCTTTATAACATTGTTATTTCCCAAGTATCATTCACATGAATGCAGTGCTTGCTTTCAGTCCTTATGTCACAGTTTATTTCTCATTTCTTTATTAATGTCTTTGTTGGTGAGTACAGTCACTTAGCAGATCTCCTGCACCCTCTGCCCTTTCCCAGAGTGTGCCTCTTATATACTGCATTACTTTCTTGGTTGAGAATGTCTGCCTGTTGCCTTTATATTTATACAACAAGTTGGCTGAGTCTGGTTGTTCCAGGCCACCTAGTATTTCCCTTAGCACTGTGTAGACATTGTTTTTATAACCTGTGGTATCAAATGTTACTGTGAAGAGATCTAAGACCCACCAAAAACTTTTCCTCTTTCTAACAGTACCTTGTCTTCTGCTTGGAGATCTGAGGAATTCTTACTTATTGAACTTTAGACATTTGGCCAGTGTAATGCTTGGTTTTGATTATTTCCTCTTAGTTCTTTCTTCTTCTTTTTTTTTGTTTTGAGACAGAGGCTCACTCTGTCGCCCAGGCTGGAGTGCAGTGGCACGATCTTGGCTCACAGCAACCTCTGCCTCCTGGGTTCAAGTGATTCTCCTGCCTCACGCTCCTGAGTAGTTGAGATTACAGGTGCCCGCCACCACACCCAGCTAATTTTTTGTATTTTTGGTAGAGACGGGATTTCCCCATGTTGGACAGGCTGGTCTCAAACTCATGACCTCAGGTGATCCATCCGCCTCAGCTTCCCAAAGTGCCGGGATTACAGGCGTGAGCCACCTCACTGGGCCAACTTTGGCCATTTCTTATTCTTAAACATCTCTTAAACACCTCTGCTTTATTCTTTAGT